TTTTTTTACAGCTGTACTAGAAGATATCACCAAAAAATATACGGTGCTGCGGAAAAACACAACTGAGGCAAGCAGGAGAAGTTATGCTGATTAGTGGCTGTTTCATTGTTGCATACCTTAGTGGATATTTCCACATCGGTTATGCCCAAAGCTACAGTCAGGTGGAGATCCCCACAATCGTTTCGTTGCTTTACTTTCAACGCTGCATTATTGCTTTGCTGTCTAAGGATGACAAGCGTTTATCACCTGTTAACTATATTTAAGGAAAAAGAAGAGAACGAAGTGAAAAAAAAGGGAAGGAGAGTACTAAAATATTTGTAATTGGTAAGAAGTGTTTCGGTCCCTTAAGTGTTTCGGTACACATTTCTTACCGCTACTACATCTGGATCTCGTCAGTACGATGACTGTCGTAACAAAGATAATTTAGATGAATGTTTAGTGTGTGTATGTGTGTTTAGTGTACAAATTTTTAAGAAAAGAAAGGGGAAAAAGAAGAAGTGGAAGACAGAAAGAAAGAAATTATGTGATTTGGCAAGAATTTAAATTTAAAAAAAAATGTTAAAAACACCAATGTCAATACCCAAAGAATGTGAAAGTATCTTCGAGAACGTTGGTTGGTTGGACGTTTTACGCAAATTTATACAAATACTTACGACTTTTAGATCATTTTTCAACGCTTCGTCATTGCTTATTTCGGCTATTTCATTCCGAAGCACAGCAGCACGTCGCATCGCCTTCCACACCGTCCAACGTACGCCTACAACAGGATGCAAAAAGGCAAACTCTTATAGGCAGCAGCCGAACGGCCCTGCAGCACTACCGTCATGCAGAAGGATGAAGGTCTGATTTTGCCAGTGAAACAAATAATCCCCCTACGATTCGTTTCGATGATGAATTGGTAAGCCTCATACATAGCCTTGCCGAAGTGTAGTTACCGCTTGCAGCTGCTATCACTTGAGTTGCTTGCCTAGCGCCTCCGTTTCTCAAACAGACCGAATACGAATTAAAACTCAATAGGACTCGAATTTTTGATAGAAAACCGCATACTTCTTTTACAGAGAAGTGATCCAGTGGCATTTTCATTGCCTACTTGAGAGACAATTCTGGTTCAGGATGGTTACAAAAGTTCGGCAGCGACACGTGTACTTCGGTGCCCAGTAAGACCACCAAAACACCGCGGCTTAACATTGCTGAACGTCGATGTCATGAAATACAAGACAAAGACGGGCGGTAATCAAGAACCTGTGAAAGCAAACGAGCTTATAGGATGAACATTATTTATTCAGACACAGAGAATCGATGGATATCACCAACGAAACAAACAGCCAATTGAGATAAAGCTGCTGCTGCTGCTTCAACCACCAAAGCCACCGGCCCGTGGTCTGCCTTCCCGAACCACAGGCATATCCACCGTGAAGGAGTACCAAACCTGCGGGATATCTGTCACCCGCCTACGAGGATTTGCTCCACTGCCCGGGATCTCTTAGAATAGCGCGCAAAAGCAATCCAGCAAATTTCACTCTCTTTCGTGATTTCTTTCGCAACCAAATGACCGAAAAAAAACTATTTCACTGCTTAATCGGCCGCTTCACCGGCTTGCGGAAATGACGATGCTGCGGAATTTACGCCAACCGGTAGCTGCCTGACGTGCGGTCACCGGTCAATGATAATGGCGGAATATTTTTGAATATTTGTCTCGACTTACACAGCATGAACAACACAGTTGAAAATTCGATATTACAAGATAGGAAGCGATGGAATTAGCTGAAAATCGGGGAACTAACTGATTAATGCAAGAACAATAATAAAAACGAATACAAAAGCGCAGGCCCGCGAAATTGTTATATCACTTCCTCACTCTTTATCACCGGCAATTTTTTTCGGCAAAAGAACTGCATGTATGTTCGGCAGCACACCACCTGAAACATTCGTGGTGCTGGTGCTGGAATGCTCTGCGAAGTGAAGCGACAAAAAAGCGAATTATTTTGGGGTGAAATTAAGAAAAGGAAAAACTGTGAAAGAAATATTCTTATAAGAAAAACCCGTCATCGTGATTAGCTTTTTGCCCAAAATAACGATAATTTCATTTCAGCGATTTAATTTCACGCCAATTTCAGTCATTTCCTTGCGGAACCGAATTTGGAACGAACCAAACTTGGAGAGACAGCAGTGATCGATGAGCTGCGAGGCATAATAATGGTACCTTGTGCAATGGTGACGCCGGCCAGAAGTTTGTTCAGCTCTTCGTCGTTGCGCACAGCGAGCTGCAGGTGACGCGGATTGATGCGACTCTTTTTGTTGTCGCGTGCCGCATTCCCGGCCAACTCGAGCACTTCGGCTGCTAAATATTCCAGCACCGCTGCCAGGTACACCGGAGCACCGGCGCCTACCCGTTCCGCGTAATTGCCCTAAATGAGCTACTGCTGCATCAACTCACATCCATGCATATTTTTTATTCGGAGAGTGCCTTCGCCGCCTCTCACACAGAGGGGCAGTATAAAAAGAGTGAGTGCTCACTTCCACCAAAACACTGTTTCATTATCGCATTTCTTCTTGTCATCCACGAATTTTCCGGCACAATTTCCGACTGTGACAGCGAGCCACTCCAATCGATTCCTAATCTCTCATTTCCCATCAAGCCATAGTATCAGACTGAACTGAAAATGGCGCTGACCTTGCGAAGAAGTCGATGAATTCGGCCAACAGGAAACTGCAGCCCTGCCCGGCTGGAGCGTGTTTTTGCCTTGGCCGAGGATTTCGCCTTGCCACCTTTGCCGCGTCCTGACATCTCACTCTTCCCAACGTTTCTTATCACTGAAATTACAGACGATGATCTGCTGCAGCACAACGAAATTAGTGTGTGCATAAGAAAAATAGCATGCCGTGCTTCGTTCCCGGGAAATCGGCGCACTTCGCGAAATGGCCATGCCTGTGTGTGTCGCCACAGGTCCACAACGACCGTTTCGGTGTTCGCCGGCGTTTCGGGGACGAATGCACGCACACATCGACCTCCACTTACTTACCCTCTTTACTGCGAGCCATCTGGTGAAGATGATGATGTGAAAAGAGAGATGGCCTTGGGCACGAGTGGGCGCGGGGATGCTGAGAGAACCGCCGGTGCGTGCCCGACTTGGCCCCCCGCGGGAACTGGTAGATCATCAGGGTAAGTAGGCCAGGGAGCAGGAGTGCTGGCTACTGCCCTGGAAGGCCAGCCTACCGAAGCCTAGTAAGCCTGGCCCGGAAGATGAGCAGCGACCCTTTTTATTGTATCTCTTATTCTGTTTGATTTCTCCACCGCCTTACATATTCGTGCAAAGTGGTTTATAATGCAGTTTTGCATCTCTCATCATAAAAGTCTGCCACGTAAAAACCGCATGCGCATGTTTAACAGCAGCAACACGGAAGCTAGGAAGCTGAAATTTTACGAGGATGCCCTCTCGAAAAGTCCGAATCTCGGAACATGAAATCAAGCCTTACCCCCCTCTCTCCCTCCCTCTGCCCCTTCCCCATCTTCACCTGAACTGGGCGTATAGAAGATTTGGCATAGCATTAACACTGGCAATTACTAGAACTCGGCTCGGCCGGCGTCATACACGAATCGCGAAAAATTTCCCTTCGCAGTGACAGGTGTCATTACCCCACGGTGAGTGGCGAACGTTCGATGTGGCTGTTGGTTTGTGTTGCGGGTTTCGTCCGCATGGTCGGGGCAGGGGAGAGAGATGGGATAGGAGGGTTTAATGACTGTGTGGCACAGATCCTTTGTCGGTTGGCTGGACATTTGGAGGGAGAGACACATTTCAACAGTCACTCTGAAACAAAGCACTCATTGGTAGTATGCAGCCGTGTAGTAACCATGATTTTTATGCGCTTTTGCAGCGCAAGGGGGTGCTGTCGCTCAATAGCCAGCCTTTTCTCTTTGGGACCACAGGAGTCTTTGCGTTAATTACGGAATTATCATAGGCGGATCCCCTGATGAAATAAGCAATAATGCTGCAAAAGCCTGGGTCTGTTCATAAATAAAACTAAAGTAACTCTAAGCAGCAGTGTGTTACAAGGGATGAAACACAGACGGCCAAGTTGACATTCAGCCTTCACACATGTTCTTGTTACATTTCCTGAACATTTTTTTCACAAATCTGCTCCCCACTGTCTTTTCTCGCATCTTGTTTTCTTGGTCTTTCCTTTCACTTCATTACAACTCT